TCAAAATATTTTCAATATGCATTTCAGCTACTTTGGAGTCTTGGTGTGTATATTAGACAGTTGATCCACAACACCGCATTGGTGACCTTCTGTTTTCACATCGGTTAGTCTTCGATTTTACCAATGGCTTTAAGTATGTACCAAGACACCAATTTACAAAGAACCAATAAGTACTAAGTGTTGCTAAGGTAGAGGAACAGATCAGTGGGTCATCACCAAATCAATAGGTGACCCAACAGACCCAAATCCTTTTCGGATGCTTCACTCGCTTCATCCAAAAATGAATCAATCTTCACAAGTTCACTTCTTTCCCTCTCAATCACACCTGGCTCTGCAAATTTCTTTGCAGTTAAACTTGTTGATCTTCTTGTGATGTACACTCTATGTACAGTAGTCTCCTTTTTAACAGTGTCTTGATTGAATGTTATGGTCCCCTTCCTCCGGCTATATGTTGCAACTACTGCAGGTGTATTTGGTATGCACTTCGTCTCATGTTCAACCAAACAGTTGTTTTTTGCAACTTCTTCACACTCAATTCAGTTGACTCCCCACATTCCGGCAAGAAGTAATCGGGGCCTTCTTTCTGGTGCTAGAAACAATCAGAGTTCTCAGTTCATTAACCTCTCCAGCCAATTGCCTCCTTACTCCACAACCAGTCGTCTTGCTTGTTGTTGCTAGCATAGACTCTGCTTCTGTTTTCTTCACCTTTAGCCAAGTAGAAGTTCTACAGCTTGTGCAAGGAACTCTAGGTGACGTAACATCGATCTTTGCAGGTGATTCAATTGATGATCCAACACTTTCAGACCGTGAAGGTTCCAAGATCTCTTAAATTAAATCCTTCAACCTGGTGACAAACAATTCTAAAATCAATACAAAAAAACATGTGTACATCGATTCTAATATTGTTTTGTGTATCAACCAATACAGGTGCTAATCTAATAGCACAAGGTTTTTCTGTAGCTGACCAATAGAAGCAAGGCGCAATCAAACAGATCGAATTTGAGTATATCTTTTTCAAAGTGCACACAATGAGAAGCATGGATCAATCGAATTAAATTGAGAAACTCACAGAAGATTTGATGGCATCGGCCACAAAATACAGGAACACAAGCGAGGTGTTAAGTATAACTTGATCGTAGATTTGGTAATCTTACAACATAAACACACGAGTCTTCATTAACCAATATGATAAATAAGAAAGAGTCTAAATCCATAAATAATAGAACCTCTAAATCAAGAAAGTTGTACCATTTTAGCAGATAACATAAAAATTAAAATAATAAAAAGCCTAAAACACGAATAAAAATAGAACCAGCTACACTGAATTAAAGCTTTGCAGTTGGATTCAAACCAAAATCGTACTTGGATTCAAAATCTTACCCAAAATCAGAATCGCCATTGCAGTTGTATGGGAAACAAGATGTGGCACGGGAAAAGTGGTGGACGAAGTCTAATTAAAAGTAGAAAACCAATGGAAACTGTCAACAACAAAACATAACACATAAAAACAAAGCGAAAGCAAAAAGAAAGGATTTTCAGGAATTCATTAACCTTTCCAACCAATCGGAGTTCATAATCGTCGGTGTTTAGGCTAGCTTACACGCATATCGGAATCCAACAGGTCCTACAGTTAACAGCTAGAAAAACCTCAATGGCTTCCGAGGACTTTGAATGATGGAGAGCAAAGTTAAGGTCTTACCAGTGTAGCTACCCCAAGGTCTTGATTTAGAGTGATGGAGATAGAATCTACATTTTGAATTAGCATTACTACAATTGGTATCTATTGAGTAGGCATGGCAATGGGGCGGGGATGGGGCGGGGTTTGTAATCCCCAGCCCCGACCTCGGTTTGTAGTAACGTCCCCCGGCCTCGGTCCCCGGTCAAAACTCTAGCAAAACCAGGTAAAACTCCGGTCAAACCCCATAAATAGTATTCTTTAGTTTGATTCTACCGGGGATCCCCGGCCCCGATTTGAGTAACATCCCCCATCCCCGGTTGGAGTCTACCGGGGATCCCCGGCATCGGGACCCGTTTTAGCGGGGAATCCCCGGCCCCGTTCGGGTTGGGTGAACCAGGTTCCCGGGTCAGAGCAAATCACCATTCTTACAATTGAAGACTAAAAACACTGTCTATTTGGGTTAAATTACTTTACCAATTCTTGAAATTCAACACAATCAATGATCATCCATAACTATATAGAGTCAACATTTGAATACTCATGTTAAAAAAAGTCAAAATCATATAAAATCTCTAATACAAAGACTAACATTTATATAAGCTGATACAATTATTCATATTTTTCTCAACATTAATTAAAAAATCATATCAATTTTAGGATTGTAGAACTATTATTGGCTTCATAACTCATCTTTTGACAACTATTTACAACCCAATGTAGATGTAAGGGTGTTCATGTGTTAGGTTGATCGGGTTGAGAACATTTAACAACCTAACCCAATGCTTGCGGTTTGAAAAAATCTTAACCCAACCGAACCCAAACTAAAGTGCAACCCAACCCAACCCGTACGGGTTGGTCGGGTTGATACTTTAGTATAATAAAATATTCTTCTAACCTTGAATATGTTATTTCTCTATTTATAATTTTTTTTTATCATCAATCATTTGATACAACTTATTCATATTTCTTACATATATCACATTCAATTAATTTTCTCAATTTACACATAGTTCACAGTTACTGAATGAATTATATAGAGATATGAATAGATTGAAAATATGTGTATATGAAAAACATACATGATAATGTAATTGTCTAATGTACATATTAATAGAAATTCAATAATCATATTAAATCCAATAAATAAAAAGATATCGGGTTGGATTGGATTCAAATAATAATAACTCAATATCAATTCAATACCTACAATTGACAATTTTACAACTCGATTAGACATCAGGTTGCTTCGGGTTGGGTTATTTTGCGTTGGGTTGGGTTGATCGGGTTGGTCGGGTTTTTGAGCACTCCTATGTAGATGGTATTGCATTTCCTACTAAAAATAATAATTTGAACTAAAAAAACACCAAGAACACACACAATTACACACAAACAACATCAATTTTTCATATCAAAACAACTATGAATTCAAAATTTTCTGATCAAATAAGAAGGGACAAAGAAAACAAGAAATTGATAGTTTTGTGCGTTTGTAAACATTGCAAGCATCAAAACGATGAAGTATATATATATATATATACACACACACACGTGTATATATATATATGGAATTGTAGATGCAAAAATAACAATGTACTCAACACTTGTGTTCAAATTTGCTCATTCTTGCAATGTGTAGTGTTCTCTGCCAAAGTGGGAACGACGTTCATAACCCATAACTTGGGAGAGTCAAGAGCAGCAGCAAACCCTCCAAAACCAGCATTCATATCCATGATGTTGGGATACCTTCCGGATGCAATGATTCGATGGATCCTTTTGTAAGCATTCACACGTTTCTTCCATTGTCTGTTATCCTTCATGTACATATCTGCAGAAACTCCTGGAATGGATCCAGAAGCAATTCGTGGTGGGATAGCATTAAGGCTTTCAGGGAACGGCTTGTATTACACATCCTCTGCCTTTGCATTAAGGCTTTCAGGGAACAGCTTGTATTCCACATCCTCTGCCTTTGAATTGGTAGGAGTTACACATTTCTCCATATTCTTGTACCTAAAACACCGAATATATAGTACAATGGGTTGATTTTAAAATCTAGAAAAATTAAGAACAATTTTTGGATGAATTTCCACATGAATTTAGGGGTTCTTTGTTGAAAACAAGAAGCTTTAAGCTTTGAATCTTCAAAAAAGTATTGATAATAACATCAAGGTGATCATACGAGACATCATCTGGATCTTGGGAGCAATATGTAACACCCGGAGCATTTTCTGTGGCACGACATGCTTCCAGATTTAATTTCTTCTGCCAAATAGTAGTTTCTCCACTCTCAGATGTTTTCTCCCAGCATAGAAGCTTAGAAACCTTTTCAATACTCCTCTGTTCTTCCTCAAGATCCTCCTTTGGATGTTGCCACAATTTGTAATTGTTTCTCTAATTAATTGGTGGACCCGAAAGCACCCAGAAGGCAGAAGCCACCAGGTCTAAGAACTCTATCAACTTCCATCATGTATTTCCCATCTACACACAGCAAAATCCAGAAAGAAAATCAAAATCATGAAGCCATCAGCAAATTAACTTCCCAGCACCCACAATAAGAGTCCTTTTTCATGATTTTTTGTTCCATACTTCCATGAGAAACCAATCGAGAGTATAAAATAAATCTCCAGAAATAGAGTGATCGATTTCTTGAACCATCGCCACTTCACTTTTCATCATGAATAAATCTATCATTCTAACAAAATGTAGAGAAAAAGCACTACACATTGCAAAATGAATGAGAATTGAACATTAAGTACCAAGTATGGTCCTTTTTGCATTTACATTTCCCCAAGAAATTAGGGCTCCAACCCAATCAACAAAACACCAACCTGATTTGTAGAGAAACATCATTCCAAAATCAATTAGGGATCCAATCCAAACACCAACCTGATTTCTAGAGAAACATCATCATTCTAACAAAATGCAGAGAAACATCAAATTTGTTTTTAAGCATTTATCAAGAAATTAGGGCTCCAACCCAATCAACAAAACACCAACCTGATTTGAGTTTCAATCGTCGAGAGTAGCAAATACCAACGATTGAGTTTCAATCGTCGAACAAAATCATCAACTTAAAATCAATTAGGGATCCAATCTAAATACAAACCAGTTGAAATAGAACAAAAAAATCAGTTGGACAGACCAGATAAGTGAAAGGGGAGCGTTAAAGATGAGAAAAATTAGGTCGATTATTACCTCTATATGTTGAATATGGAGAATTTCGAACTCCAAATCAAAAACAAGGAAAGCCGATTTGGATAATTGATAAGCCAGAGATGGAAATTATAGGGCAGAGTTGGAGCGGCACCTTGGGAGCATGAATCGACGTCTGAGTTCTTGGAGCGACAATTGAATCGAGAATTGGAAGGGGTACCGTATGCAACTGAACCAACCAAGTTGTACTTGTACTATATGCAAAAATTACTTGTAACCAAGACTTCATGCATAAAAAAAAGTATCTTGTACATTTTAGATTATTTTTAAGATATTTAATAAATTTGTTTAATAAGGTAGTATAGATTAAAAGTTCATGTTTGAATTCGTTTAACTAACTGTAAATAAATATAATCAAATACCGATAAACATTTCATTTTAAATATCTAAAATCTAAAATATAATTAGGATAATTATTGTGTTATAACAGAATACTTAATTATTATATTTATAAAAATTATATTGTTAAATCAAAAATAAATTACTTCGTTATTAAACATAAATTAAATTATAATAAAAAAATTGAATTAAAAAATTACACAACAAAACAAAAACTTTTAAATAGTTAATTTGATACTAATATCAATATATTTTAAAAAAAATTAAAGATATTTTTGAAATTTATATTTTATTCAAAAATAAAAACATTTTTTTTTTCTAAAACTCACATAAAACCGTATTATAACATTGACAGAGGACAAAATAAAACGAAACATATTACTATATCTCTAGAGTCAATAATTTTATATGAGRAACTACTGAACTCAATCACTTGCTGCCGTTACTCTTCAGTTTTCTGTTGAGGTCTATCCTGTAGAGGTACTCAAATTGGATCAGTGATCGATTTCTAGGTTTCGTCGTAAACCTAATTGGTTACTTCCAATTACGTAAATCAATCCATTCCATGAATGAAATCTTAGTACTATAAAAGCAAGTGCATGTTAATTCGAATCCGAAAGTCTTTTATTATGTGAAAATATAATATTCCGGTTGTTATACGACAATCTTGTGATTTTGTGGTCTAATTTATAAACTAATTCTGAAAAAATGATACTTTGAAAGTATTCATGTTCATTCAATATTTATACCTGTGTGAGGTTTCAAAAGTTACTTTAGACTTTATTTGAATTGTTTTAACATTGAACATCATTTCAACGATATTTTGAACCATAAAGGTCGTTTATTGGATTTCATGGTCGTTATTTTCAACTTTCATGATTCTCACTTGATTTTATAATTTTGTGTGACACATTGATCAGGACATGGATCATTATGACGCTCTGTGGTGCTCGTGAACCACAACGTCCCCATATTGGTTCTCCATCGCGTGAGCTTTACCTATGAATGGGTGGGGGTGTATGGAATGGTTATAGGATATGCATGTTATGATACACATTGTTGCATGCAAGGTTGGATGTGTTTACCCGTACTACATCCCACGACCCATGTGGACAGATCCTCCCTTGAGATTTATGACACACTGAAGGTTCCGTACGTTGATCCCTCTATGTGATTATGAACTAAAAAATTAGTCTTGTACTTGATTTTATGTATGTTCCCTTTATGATGCTTTTGTTTTCAAGTCTTTTAGACCATCTTTATTCACGGTCTGGAGCAATCCGATCGTGAGTAAGACAAAATTGTTAAAAAAAATAAAAAAATATTTACCAATTTGTACCGCCTTACGAACCAGGATTGCCATTTTTTGAATCTTATTGCCACATGTCACATTTTGTTGGTCAAATTTAATTTTATAAAACTTATCTGATTAAAAAAATGACTTTAACAGGAAAATTAGAAAATAATAAATATACAAAAAATCATGGTTTTCAATTCCATACAAATAGAGCTGAATATTGACATATTTTCATCACACCAATCTTTCTCTTCATTTCAATCATCTCGTTATCTTGCAAATTCCAAAAAAACTTTCAATTTCTTTCAATTTTCTGCTATGGGTCCAAACTTTCCAAAATCTTTTTCAAATTCTCAACATTCTGATAACTTTCAGTATCACCCACACACAGAGTATAAAAAATCTGAGTTTTTCATCAATGATAATCAAGTTTCTACCCCTGAAAATACCCAAACACCACAAAAGAGTTCAACGACAGATAAAAGGGAAACCAAAGAAGATATGGTGTTGATGTCAACGTGGATCTATGAGTGAAGAACCTACTCGAGGAAAAACACTAGAAAAAACAGACATTTTGATCACGAGTGAAAGAATACTATGACGAAACTCGAGCAGAAAATGCAGAAGAACTGGGAATCAGGAACATAAATCAAATGAAAGGTCATTTTGCTCAACTTAGCGAAAGTGCAAACAAATGGATTGATGTGTACAGAGAAGCAGATGAACAGAAAATGAGCGGAATGAGTATGAAAGATGTTGAGAAAAAGGCTTATGCAATTTATAAGATGGGTGGGAGCAAGTTTAATGACTTGCTTGTTTTTTATGAAGTTATGTGTATACATCCCAAGTGGAATTTATAGTTAGAACATGACAGGACACGCTCTCGCCTAAAATATGAAGTGGATAATAAAGAAAGTGGTGAAAGCACAAAAAGGTCAAAAACTTCAGAAGTAGGAGATATTCTGTCAAAACCAACCAAGAAGCACCAATTGTTAGTGGTTCAACAGTTCAACGTCCTATAGGTAGAGATGCGGCAAAGAGAAAAGGAAAAGGTAAGACATCACACTCTTCTTTAGCTTCTGACAATTACGAAGAATTTTGTACATTAAACATCACAAGAAACGATGAGGTTGGAATCTTGACCAAAAGACTTTAATTTGAAAAAGAGAAAGAACACAACAAGAATCAGCAAGAACACCACAAGAATCTGCGTATACTGTTGGCCAAAGAACACCTGTCACCGGGAGAGAAGGCGTTGAAATAACATCTCTTGAGTAGCTAAATTCCTTAGCTTGGGTGTATGACAAAAATGGTGAGTTTGTAAATCAAAATAAGGTATACCCTTTTATGTAACAACAATGTTTCATTATTTCATTTCAAGTTTTATAAAAACCAATGACACTTCTTGACAAGTTGATCACTGAAAAGTGTTAAAGTGCCATGGACTCTAAGCTGAGCCATTGATTGCACGTCAATTGGGATGATATGAGAAGTAGACTTGAGAGAGTTGCTAACAAAGAGATTTATTATCCGTATTTTCTAAATTGTTAATTCTCGACATGTTAATCACTTTGGAGTGTTAAAGTGGAATGGACTCATAGATGAGCCATTTAGAACACGTCAACTTGAATGATATGGGAATTCATTCGAAATAGTGATTTTTAACAAAGAGAATTGTTTATCTATATATTTTGAGGACTGGTCCGCATACCTCATAGAAATATGGGTTGAAAGTTATAATATTAGTGCATCGGTGAAGTCCGAAAGGAATACCCTCAAAATAAATGGTGAAAATAGTTGTTACTAATTGCATGTTGTAGCAATTTGTCAACATGGTCTCATGTGGTAGCATTTTGAAAGCAGTGGTCTACTGGAAATAGTATTTACATCTCACCCTAAATCTTACACCCTGCTTGTTTTTATTATCTGTTATTTCCTGTTAATTTTTTAGTTGTGTTAACTCTGATCAAATCAAAGTCTTCAAATTTGCCTTCTGAAACTACAATCCCTCTGAAGCTTTTTCTTTGACATCCTTGGCCATTAAGCAGAGATAGGCCATATCTTCCTCATCAGATGATGATTTATCAGATGAATAAGCCTAGTTGTGCTCTTCAGCGACAAGACCTTTGGCCTTACGCTGGAAGGAGAAGGAGAAGAAGGAGAAGAAGAAGAAGAAGAAGAAGAAGAAGAAGAAGAAGAAGAAGAAGAAGAAGAAGAAGAAGAAGAAGAAGAAAAAAAAGAAGAAGAAGAAGAAGAAGAAGAAGGAGAAGAGAAGAAGAAGGAGAAGGAGAAGGAGAAGAAGAAGGAGAAGAAGAAGAAGGAGAAGGAGGAGAAGGAGAAGGAGGAGGAGGAGGAGGAGGAGGAGGAGGAGGAGAAGAAGAAGGAGAAGGAGAAGGAGAAGGAGGAGGAGAAGGAGAAGGAGAAGAATGAGAAGAAGGAGAAGAAGAAGAAGGAGAAGAAGGAGAAGAAGGAGAAGAAGAAGAAGAAAAAGGAGAAGAAGAAGGGAGATTAGCTGAAACATCTTCAGAGATTAGACCTAACGAAGAGCTCTTCATTTCTCTAAAATCTTTGATTAGATTTATCTTCAGCTGAGAAGACTGATCATAATTAAGCAGTATCCCATATAGAGTGCTGAGAGAAAGAGAAGACATGTCATTGGTTATCTTGAGACACATGGAATAAGTATCCGAAGACTCAGGCAAACATTCCAGAAACTTCGTTAAAGTTTTAGAATTAGAATATTCCCTGCCTACAGTCCTTATATCGATAAGAAGACAACTAAAACGTTGATGTACATCAGACAATGTTTCAGTCTTTCCACAGAGAAAGCTTTCATATTGTCTTACTAAATTAATCTTCCTCGATTCTTGTACATGAGAGGTTCCTTCATATTGAACACATAAAGTGTCCCACATGGCTTTCGAGGCTCTGAGTTTCATAACAGAATGATAAACCTCATCAGGAAGAGACATATCTATTATATACCTAGCACGAATGTCTATAGCTATCTTCTTCTTGTCTTCATCGCTCCATTGATGAGTGAGCTTTGGAATCTGCGTTCAAGAATCGCGACAGTCATAGCTGTTCCAGGAACAGCCGGAGAAATGGCATATGGAACATATGGTCCATTTTCTATATAGTGTGGAATTTCAGGATTCACACCTTCCAGAAAGAGGGACATCTGATTTTTCCAAAAACTAAAGTTGTCTCGGATAAAACGGGGTGGTTTGGCAAGAGAGCATTGTCATGAAAGTATGTGTTTCTATTTTGTAAATCCATTTGAAAGCAGTAAGATTATCTAAAGAAAGAGATAATATAATGCAGAAAAACAACTAAACAACAAGAATATAAATACACTACTCTGATACCATTTGTTGGTCTCGTTAGGGTCTACAAGATGTGTATAACAGTTTGTAGAAGAGGGGAATGAATACAAGCACATGTATAGACCAGGTTGTAATCACTAAATACCGCTTCAGATCACGAACTTG